TGTGACATCAAGCAAGATCCCTATTCCAAGTCAACCTGTGCAGAGAAAGAAAGTTTGCAAGAGCTCATCTCAACAGAAAAATCTGGGCATTTTGTAACACACTTGCCATCCCAGCCACTCTGGGAAGCAAGCTGGGGGTGAGAGGATTATGATCCCGTCTCAAAAATAACCAGAGAAAAATATTATTGGAGGGAGTAGAGTTCCTGCCTAGCAACTCAGAGTGCAAATCCTAGTCCTGCCCAAAGAAAAGCAAGTAAATACACATTTTCTTAAGAAAGACAGAAGTCTTTCTATTTTTAATAAAGATACTAAAATTATAGAAACTTCAATTTTGACTAAAAGAAGAGTGCTTTCTTTATAATTTTACAATTGAAATACCTTTGATAAGTTCTTTAACCATCAAAATATTTGGTCTTTTTGGGCATCTAAGTCTTTCTCCACTCAGATGCTTAAACACACTGAAGATCACTTTTCAGTTGCTCAGAATGAAATTCAATGATTTCTCTGTGACTCTCAATAGTTAGGAGTATATAATTCTCCATGTATATGTAGGAGATAAAATAAGAATAAATATTTAACGGGGAAAGCAATAAATTTGATCTGAAGAACATAGCAGTAAAGGTGAACTATTCCTTCAACTTTAAAAATTTGATACTGAAAAAATGGATCATTATGATCATGAGGAGGAGGAGGAAGATAAGTGCTTGTATGTTTCAAGCTTCAAGAGGAAATCTCTAAAATTAGAAATGATACATTGGAAGAAAGTATGTGCTTACCTTCAGCAGCTACACACCACTTTTCACTTCATGAGCTCTTCTAATTTAGGACCCATCATGAGTTAACTTTTCACAGTTATTGTCCAGGGTGCCTAGAAATGACAGGAAATACTAGCAGTATTCAGATATATGAGCAGTGCATTTCACAGTGGACACAGGTTACACACTGTGGGAAGACATTTTTACCTTGAAAAGAGGAAGGTATTTTCTATTTATATATGCATTACATTTATTTTCTGTGCTTTTTTGGTGACTGTAAAGTGAAAGCTAAAAATAGTACCTCGTGGGCTAAATCCACAAGGAAAAGAAAATGTTCGTCTATATGATGTATGGCCATGAGATGTACAGTGAAATCTAGGCATCATCAATTTCATGAATACCATGACCTTTTGTAGCCTTGAGAATATAATATTTTCTTTAGGGTCAGATCCATACTAATACATTCAAAGTACTATAATTCATTTCCATTCTAAATAAAATTCCATTACACATTATTTTAGTTTCATTCATTTTTATGGCTTAGGAATAATATTCCTGCAGTGTTCAATTAGTTGCAAAAGGAATTTTTAAAGGGTGCATTACTGTTAATTTTCAGTTTAATTATTTACAGTAATTCAGCTATATGCCTTAGTATGCCAGAGCTTAAACTAAAATTGTACTTTAACTTGAAACCCATAAAGAGTAAACCAACCTGGGAATATTTCACTAGCTTTATTGAATTCTCTTATAGCAAGCTTTAAATGTTTTCTTTACGATCATACTTTTCAAAAAACAGGAAGGGGTTAATCACTTGAACATACTAACTTTAGAAAAAATATTAACAGGACATTGGAAATGCAGCTACTGAGGAATTGCTCTGACTACTTTGTATCAATATGAGATACACTTTCTCTAAATATTTATATTATTATTGTAACTATTATGTGATTAGCATATTTTCCCAATCTATCCTCATAAGAAACATAAACAGTGCCATAAAGATGTGGAATTTGAAAAATTCCATTAGTTAAATTAAATACCAGTACAACATTTGTTTTTTACACACTTCATTATCTTTAAGTAGTTGCACAAAGGAATTGCCATTTGACAAAACAGTCTATGAATACAGTGCATCTTATCAATGTCACCCTTTTAACATTCTGACCTATCCCTCCCCTTTTCACCTCTTTCTCACGCCTCTTAATTTTGTAGGATGTACATTGAACAGGATATACACTGAACTTGACTGCATTCTCGCCCTCCTCTCCTCTTCAGAGTCCACCCCTTTCTCCTTGATCTAATCCTACCCTTTGCAAGTACCCACTTCCTGGTGTTGGGTTTTTGGTGGGCTTTTTGCTGTTGTTCAACTTTTCCTTTTCCTTTCTGAGGAATTACATTATTTGAGTTCTCCCTTGATTCTACCAACTTTCAGTTAGTATATTCGTTAAATAAATATATTTTAAAATTAAGAGAGCAGAGATTCCCATGCCTAAATCCTGCCCTTCCAAAGACAGCCTCAGATAGATAGATAAATAGATAGATAGATAGATAGATAGATAGATAGATAGATAGATAGATAGATAGATAGATAGATAGATAGATAGATAGATCAATTTTGTCAAAATAAAACATAAATCTAATCTTCCTTCTGTTCTAAAATTAACTTATATTCCTATCAAACTCTCATGTTCTGTTTTGTAATTACAGAATTTATGACCTCATATTTCATTCCTATCTCTCTCTGAATGATGTGATTTAAAAGGAACTATGCTAAATATTCATCCATCCACACATAGATTAATTACTTTACTCAGCTGAATGTGACCCATGTGTCAAGCATAGATATGACCACTTAAAACTAAGTGTTTGAAAGAAACAAAGAGCTACCCACGTGAAAGTTAAAGTTGAGTTGCAGTTAGAATCTTAAATTCTCATTCTAGTGTTTCTGGTCTTTAAAAAAAAACAACTTTTTATTGTAAAGGTGATGTACAGAAGGGTTACAGTTACATAAGTCAGGCATTGAGTACATGTCTTTTTTTGAATAGTGTCATTTCTTCCTTCTGTTTCTGATCTTTAAAGAAATTAGATGAAACAAATTTCACCTTATGCTTATAAATCAAAATGTCCACATTCTTACATAAGTAGGATCAGACACTTAGAAACAAATAAAAAAAGTACATGTAAATTTAAAGAAATTATTTTGATTACTGCAGTTTGTCAGATACATAGCCTAGGGATGTTTGAGGAGACATAATTAACATTGACACAACCTAATTAACATTGATACAATCCACATCTTTATTTAAATCAGCCTCCTAATTTTACTTGCAATGAAAAATTATGTACCAGCAACCAAGTATTGATTTCAAATATAGGGAGGCTAGAAAATTCTGGAGAATTGTTATCATTTAAAGGTGCATATGATACAATTCAAGGATTTACAGTATCCTATGTCATTGAGATACATTGTGACAAATCTGAACCAAATGTTCCATTTCTCTACCACAAATGACTCCTTCTTTATAAAGTGAAATTTTATTCATTCTGTCCTAAACCATGTTATCACGTTCAGATTTTTCTGCTTTATATTTTATTACATTTTATTCTTGGTGGAAAATGTCTTCATTTATCACTAAGATGATGTAATGTGGTGAGATTTGAGTATCTCATACCCACTGTGTGCCATAGACCAAGGGATCTATTGACCATCCCTGTGGGCATTTGCCCAGGCTTTTTTTAGGTCAAAAGAAATATTGAGGGTATTTTCTGTCCTTCATCTTTCAAAGAGGAAAAGAAGATTTATTTCTACTGCACCCAACTTTTACCACCAGAACTGCAAAAATGATGCCGGCAACAAAAGCTGGCATGATCCCAGCTTTCTGCTAGTGCCTGTTAGACTTCACAATTAATTCTTGTGTGTACATTTAAGGAAACAGTGCTTCTCATGACTATCTGACATATACACTGGAGCCACTGCTTTTGTTTCCTAGTGCTGTTTGCTTATTTTGGAGCTGTAAGAGGAGAAGGACATTTGCAGACCACAGGGACTGTAAAGCAGCCCTCCTGTCTACTGTCAAAATGATCCCAGCAGGGAAGAACTCCTCTGAGTTTCAGAGAACACCAGACAAAACACAGAAACTCTTTGGAGAGTCACAATTACTAGTGCTTTGAATATGGGGACAGACATTTCAGTATTTCTGGTGTAGATTAATCTGACCAAGTTCTGTGTGCCTAGTCATAATCATGGGAAAATAACAAGGAAATAGAATAATTTCCTTTAATAATACCAAATAAGAGAATCTAAGAAAACAATCATCTCATTGATAGTGAGTCCTTGCTAAAATTTTTCCTATACCAATTAGTCATTGAGTTGTTTAACCTGAATATCTCCAGTCCTAAACTGATTTGGAGCCCTTGGTCAAGATTGTCTGAATGGCCAAGTGCCGGTGTTTCACGCCTGTAATCCTAGCTACTCAGGAGGCTGAGATCTGAGGATCACCGTTCAAAGCCAGCCCAGGCAGGAAAGTCTGTAAGACTCTTATCTCCAGAAATCTAGAAGTGCCACTGTGGCTCAAGTGGTAGAGTGTTCGCCTTTAGCTGAAGGGCTGATGGATAGGGCCCAAGCCCAGAGTTCAAGCCCCATGACCAGAAAAAAAAAAAAAAAAAATGAATGTCTAAATGTATTGGACCCAGATTCCAGAGCCATTGTCTTGGGAGAAAGAAATCATTTTGAAGCAATCCTCTCTCTCTACAGCTCCAGAAGACTCTTGAGACAGGGCCAGAACAGTACTTTCCATTTCTATGCATTTATGAGTCTGGTTTGTGATCTACAGAGTGTAGATATGAATGGAAATTAATTTGAATTCAGGAGTAACCAAGCTTAAAATAACTAGAGGAAAACAGCCAAGCCATATATCTATACATCTACGTCTATATCTATTTGTCTGCCTATCTTTCTATCTGTCTAGCTAAGCCTTTTAAATTTATTTCAGCTGTAGCCCTGTTGATGAACACACAGCAAACCAGCTTCAAAATTCAAAAGGGACAAAAGTGTTGTAACAAACAGTATTTGGGAAGTGACATTGTCTACTTGCCAGCAACACTAAACATCAGAGCCTTTGTAAACTCTTTTTTAAAAAACGAAATGCCAGTTTAGGGGGGAAAAAAAGACACTAAGAAATAACTTTAATCACAGGGGTGGGGGAAAAAAGCCTTTTTTATTGATATGTTTTACTTTGCTGGCAGACCAGAGCAAAGGTTTTGTGAACATTTAAAAGATGAAAAAGGTGAAGAATCCCAGAAGCGGTTTATCTTGAAGCGAGATAACTCTAGTATTGATAAAGAAGACAATCAGGTTGGTTCTCAAGTTTGAGAGTGGCTGACATTGTTGTTTTTGAAGGTGGGCTGACTGATGTTTTTGTCATTCCTCTGTGGTCCCCTCCTGCCTTCCCTACCCTCCTGCTCTGACACTACCACCCTCTCTCCATCCCCTTGGCTCCCCTGCTTTCCCCCTTGGCATTGATGGGTAGCCAGAAACCATGTCCTGGTTGCTTTAGCAATGGCTCTGTGCTGGGTTGCATGGGTGGTGCTTGGTGCAGTACTTGCTGCATGCTATGGGGAGGTGCGGGATGCTGCTCACAGCTTTGGGGTAAGCTTGTCAGCTGCATTTCCAGATGTCTGTGTAACTCTGCCAGTCGCTCCACTCCCTACAGCTCTGTCCTTCCGTTGTGCACAAATTGAGTTGGATTATCATACGGACTGATGACCCCACCGGTGTAGCTGTAAAGAACAAACCTTGTTATGGTGAGGACAGGTGGATTTTGCAACTATCCTAAAATAAGTCTTCACACACACACACACACACACACACACACACACACACACACACACAATCGAGTTTATGGTTTAGTCACCCAGCCTTCTTTCCATCTTTTCTGGTCCATGTAAAATTGTCTGCTTGTTCTGCATGAGGTGTAGCCAAACTTTATCCATGTGTAATGTGCTTGTGACAAAACACTCTGTTGACCTGGAAGAGCCTGGATCATGGTACTTGGCCCAGGATAAGGAAAGTTTGTTGATCTCGTCTCTAGATAGAGGGTGTGGTATCCAGAGTGAGGAAAAAGAAAATCTTAGAAAATGCAAGGAAAAACAAATTCTAAATGATCATAAGAACAATAGAAAGCCACATAAATGCCACAGCAATTACACTTTGTGTCTGACACTCAGAAATAGATATTTTTGAAGTGACTTTGCTTAATCATTCTTAAAGGTAAGACAATCTGCATCTCACTCAGGATCTCTTCTTAATTGCTCTCTCTGAGTCACTGTGAGCCACAGTGTGCATCTCTGACGAACTTTTTAATCAAATTTGTTCATCGCTTTCACCTTTTTTTCCCTCCCACCACTATCACAGCCACTGAGTTGCACTGTGGCTCGTGTTTCACTATAAAATCTGTGCCTGTGTTGAGTACTTAGCAGGGTGTCTGGTGCATGGACGGATGAATGTGGTTAAGTGCAGGGCATGGTGTCAAGAATGGCCATGGTTAGACAGGAGGGTAGTGGAGATGCAGGAAATGGCTCAGAGGAGAGGAAGAAGAAGAGCAGTCCTCATGCTGGGTTCTTTGAGTTGTTTTCACTTTGTCCGAATTGACCCTGATCAACAAATAGATATAACTTGTAGTCATAAGGTCCTTCTTCCTGTATCAACCCATTCACAGGACCATTGCTCAAATAAAAAAGCACCGCCACTTGGGAGACAGTAAAATGATGTCCACACGATCTTCCATTTTGTCCCCTACGTAAGGTGCTAATGGGCTCACTTGCTCGTTCTCTTATCCCCAAGTTTTCAAAGCTATTTCTTCCCCATGTCCCTCACTGCTTTCTTCTGAGGAGTCAAAAACACACAGGCTAGAAAATGAGACAGAATCCTTACCTGGGAAGGTTGTATATTCTCAGGACTTGTGCCCCATTCAGGTACACTCATATAGGCACACGTGAGCTACTCTTCTACAGCAAGGAAACTACCACAAGCAACAAAACACACCCCATCATTGCATGCTATGTACACATGGTCCATGTCCCCCTCACTCAGCCTCCTCAGGGACAGAGAGGGTGAGACTTGTCATGCTCCAGTTGTTTAAATGAGCATTTAATATTCTCAGCTGACAGTTGTTTTTTAACAACTCAACTTGGATAACCCTCCTGATTTCTTTTCTCTGTTCAGCAAAACAGAATGCATCCATTTAGAGATGACAGACGAAGTAAATCAATTGAAGAGAGAGAAGAGGAGTATCAGAGAGTGAGGGAGAGAATATTTGCACACGATGTGAGTAGTTGTTTTAATTGCCTCTTTAGTCTGGGCCTTCCATCAGCAGAAAGGCAGCCTCATTCCCCAGACAGGGATCTGGCAAGGAGGACAGAGGCTGGAGCCAGGGAGCAGCAAATCAAACTGCAGTAGCAAAGGAAAAGTGTTTCTGGAAGAGGAGTCAGTTCAGGGAAATGCTGGAAAATGAGCCAATGGTCTGATCAGGGTGTGATCAGTATCAAAGTAGAGAGGCAACATTTTGGTCAGTAAAATGGACCTTCCATACAGAGAGAGAATGGCAGATTGCATAAATACCTACACATCCACATTAGGCAACAGAGAACTCATTTTGGATTAACAAATGCCCCATTATGCAAAAGAAGGAATTACAAAGAAAGAGTCTGTTGCTCACACACGTACACTTACCTACATCTACAAACATACAGTACTTTCAGAGTCCTTTGCAAATATGGACACTTCGTTACAGTGAAGTTAGTAATGCTCGATCCCCTATTCCTCAATTTCAGATCAAATAAAATCTGCAAACAATTTGTGAAGGGAATACTCAAAAAAATCATTTCTTTTGATCAAATTCTAACAAAGAAAACATGGTTAGGTTTTTTTTTTTTTTTTTTACTTTTTATCCTCTAGGGTCAAGATAAAGTGTAATTATGTTAAATAAAATCTAAAAGGAGTTTTTTAAGGCTGTATTTAACATGAAAGTTAAAAGGACAAGCAATCTCCACAGAGCTTTCTATTCCTCCTATTCATTAGAGCTTTCGCATATAGCCTGCGTTCTTCCCTCAGCAAAAGCAGACATGTGGGCTACTTGGTGCCACAGAGGCATCAAGTGCAACATTCCACTTCCATACCTCTGTAATTTGCCCTTGAGGGGGCCTCATACCAAGTCAGCCTCAGGCCTGGGTGTCAATGCTAGACTTGGAGGACTACTGCTCTGGGGGTTGACCAAGAGTTCTAGATCACCTAGCTGGTGCTGATGCTGAAATCTAAAGCTATCTAAGAGTCAGCCTTTTACAGTTCTGCATTGTTTCCCTCTCCTATCCACCTTCCCTTTCTTGAATACTCTAAATTACAATTTTAATTATTGAATATTCCAACCCAGAGCTCTGAAATTAGCGGATGGGGAGAAAGGCAGTTGGAGATTGCCATCACTAGCAATCTGGATGCAATTTTAGGAGATTCTACTTGGACTGATCATGGTCAGGTCTTTTGGAAGGTGCAAAGCACAGCCTGATACATGTTAGACCTTTAATTGTATTTGTCTAATATCAGGATGGAATGATGAAAAAGTCTACTCCCCTCGTGAGAGGTTGAGGCTTAGAGGTGAGTGATGGGGTACATCATCACATCATCATTCTTTTCTGAAGATGTTTTTAGAGAGCACTTTTTTTTTTTTTTGGTCGGTCGTGGGGCTTGAACTCTGGTCTTGGGCGTTATCCCTCAGCTCTTCAGCTCAAGGTGAGCGCTCTATCACTTAAGCCACTTTTGGTTTTCTAGTGATTTATTGGCGATAAGAGTCTCACAGACTTGCCTTGCCCAGGCTGGCTTTGAACTGTGATCCTCAGATCTCAGCCTCCTGAGTAGCTAGGATTACAGGCGTGAGCCACCGGTGCCCGGCTTAGAGAGAACTTTTTATTGAAAATTATTTCACCTTTTAATCTTCTACCCACTCTTAATTCCTCATGCATGCACAAACATACATTAAAAACATTGACATACTGGTTTGGGTAAGCCAAGAAATTTATGAATCTTTATGATATAAAACAAATACTAATCACACAGATAATCACACACATAGCCTTATGGGGTTTTTTGTTTCTTTTTTAAATTAATATCGTTAAGTAGTTATACAAAGGAGTTGCCATCTTGAGTGCTTTCCTGGTATGAAGATGATCCAGGTACTGCTTCCTGATTGCTGCTTTTCATGTCCTGTCCATGGAAAGGTCTCACAGGAAGAAGGGGTTGGCTGACTTCTCTTGCACTCTTGAATCTGAATTCTAAATTTGAGCACTGAGGTAAACACAGTACTTTGACTTTCAATGGCCACATTGCTTTTCTACAAAATGCAAATGGCTGTGTACCCTGCAAGAGCAGGCTTCAGTGTGAGAATGTTAAAAGGCCCAACTGTTGCCAAGCCTTTCTGTTCCATGATATCAGCTGGCAGCCATCTTTAATGTGATATGACTTCTGTCCTCTGTACAAACAAGGATTTGAGTTGCTCTGGTAGGGTTTTTACTGGCCAACACATGTGACTTTACATATTTAAATGGGAGGCCAGCTTATTCCTGGGACTAGTTTTAATACAGCATTGTAGGGCAGGGTTTAAAATTGGAATCTTACATTCAAAATACGGTAATAGAAGAGATCCCAGAATTAACTGAAGCCTCTATCGTTTGTGATATGCTATGAGCACATGTGTGCGTGTTTCTAAAGGAATATTCCTTATATTTATCATATTCTGCTAGCACTTAAAATCCTAAGAAGGTGGAAAGTGGGGAAGCCCAGTGTCTTTCTCCCTGGGTAGCTCTGTTAAGAATTGGCAGCAGCCAGAAGCAGGTGGCTCATGCCTGTAATCCTAGCTACTAAGGAGGCTGAGCTCTGAGAATTGAAGTTCAAAGCCAGCCTAGGCAGGAAAATATGTGAGACTCTTATCTCCAATTAACCACCAGAAAACCAGAAGTGGTGCTGAGGCTGGGAAGAGCCAAGGCCCAGAGATCAAGCTCCACAACCAACATAAATAAATAAATAAATAAATAAATAAATAAATAAATAAATAAATAAATAAATAAATAGTTAGCAGCAGTACCACTGGTATTCTTGGTAAAGCTATGTTATTGTGTATGACAAAGCATCTCAAGATTTAGCTGCTTACGCAACTAAATCAATGAATACAAAACATTTACTATCTCAAAGTTTCTGTGTTCAGGCCTGTAGCAGGGGCTTGGCAGATGTCTCTGGTGCAAAGCCTCTAATCAGATGTTGGCCTTAACCTGTCAGCTGGGGCTATTGCCATTTACAGACCAGGCTTCATTATCTGTGTCCAGGCTCATTCACATGGTGAACAGTAATCCTCCATGGCAATAATCAGAAGATCTCTGATCTCTGCCATTGGTTGCCTTCCTGACATGGCAACCACTTGATCAGGAGAAAGAGATTTGCTAAGGAAAGAGACTGAGCCCAAGATGGCAGTCACATACATTAATTTGGAGAATGATATACCTTGGCTTCTGCTGAATTCTATTTGACATCCAAAACAATGTCAGAACAAAGCTCTATACAGCAAGTTCCCCTGGCCTCCTCCCTGCCTCCCCCAAGGCTGGGAACATAAAGAAAAGGGATCACTAGAGATAACCCTATATTAACAAGATACTTTCTACATCCTCGGTTAACTCACATTCTCAAGGACAACATGGCAAAATGAACTTTCTTGAATTTACACAACTCTTCCTCATGATTTACATAGCACATTGAAAGACTTTAATCAGGGAATTTCTAGAACTCCAAATGGTCACTATCTCTGCCTAAATTGTTGAGGCAAAACAAACAAAATCATTATTTTCAAGATGATAACTAATGTATATTAAGTTGATTACAAAACATATGCAAAGGATCCAGCATATGGATAATGAATTCAGAGAAGTCTAATATTTTTTCTTAACCAATCTTATTTAATTTGTTCATAATATAAAAATAAACTAAGAAAATCAGCTTTGCTGGTCAATTAGCTTAGGTATAACAGGTTGAAATAGGTTGAACAGGTTCAAACAGGTAGAATACAACAGGTTCAAACAGTTTGAAACATTGAATAATTATATATCTAGTTTCTGCTAGTTGAAATAACAATAGAGATTTCAGAGATTCCAGTATTTGGAATTTAGCAAACATGGATTGATTTTAAAATTAGAATTGTTCTTGAATGTTTCCAAATGAATCTTTTGTCAAAGAGTGTCTAAAAGAGTATGTGTGTGTGTGTGTGTGTGTGTGTGTGCATGTGTGTACATGTGTGCCCATGCAAATGCTTTCCTATATAGGCACACAAAATATGTGGAAAACATATTTCAAATCTGGTTTGAGAATCTGGGTATCTTGAAATAAGACTATTATTTGAGAACTAAATATTTATACATCAGAATACAGATCAACTCATTTTTCAACTTATAAGTATCTGTTGTCAGTCATTCTGGAAATAATCCTTTTTCTTTGGTAATTATTTCAGCTTATTTGATGGTCAGTTTGATGTGATATTACTAACTCTGAAAGGGTTGTATTAATAAAGGTGTATATTTGAGAAAGGTATGTTTTTCCTGGAGGGAAACTACACAGGCTATTTATGTGTCACTAGGAGCTCAGAGAGACCTATCACACACTGACTCCTCTCACTTTGTCTGGAGTACCTCCTGCTGAGAACTTCTGGTAGAGCCTATAATGCCCTGGAGAGGCATTTATAGGTGGAAGGGGGGAGGAGATAAGATACAGGGAAGAATTCTTCAACCCATTAGGCAAAAAATGTTTCTCTCTTTTAAAGAAAGGAGCCTTTTATATCTGGGAATGCATATAAGTGACAGCTTTAAATGTTGTACTTAATTACTGTGACAATTTTTATCTTTCTCTGCTATTAAATGTGCAAGTTATTAATACCCTTTTCTAAAATTTATTTTCACCAGCGACTGAATCATGGCCATAAATGTCGCTTCATGATTTTTGAAAATGTAGGGAAGAGGTGATGAGATGATTTCTTAGACCCTTCTCACAAAAATCTAAAGAATAGTCTTGAGAGAGAATTTGTGAAAGAATATCTTTGATTTGCTGGTATCATAACATTTTAATACAAAGAGTTTAATAGCTTATTCTACCCCCACCCAAATGCTGTTAGATTAAGCAGTCTGAAAAGGTCAGTGTGTCTTTGATCAACTTCTTCAAAGGAGTGGATTTTTCAACCATTCCAATACTAGTCACAGCATTATAAACCTAACTGACTTCTATCCAGCTAGAAGAGTTGAGAGGCAGCAAATGTATTGGACTAAGAATGGCCACCTGAAACAGCCTCACTTTCTTCTATGACTTTATCAGGTAGTAAATTCAAACTGGGGGAAATGAAGACAACACTTGTAGTTGAGAATTCAAAAAAGGTCTTTGCAGGAACAAGGTTGATGCATCTTTTGTTTGTTTCTCTTTCTCAGTATAAAAGTCCAAATGAGAAAGCTATTTGTGAAGGCTTTCTCATTCAATTAGCAGCTTTTACTTTCTGTTCAGTAAGGGTCCTACACACGTGACATTTGAGAACCATGTTGAATACAGAAAGATAAAAGCAGAAAACCACTAGAGACCCTTACTGCTGTGCTCAGACCAGAGAAGAAAACACTAGTCTTAAATTGAGCCTTTTGGCTGGGTGCAAAGAAGTGATTTCTCTAGCAAAATGAAGAACCCCCAAACTTCTGCTTGCCTCTTGTTTTTGTCTTAAAATAGACCTGGATATCCTCTTCAATTCCTGAATGGGTCATTTATCCATCACTTAGAAACCATCTACACATCTGATACCATTCCTCTTTGTGTGTAGCTAACACCTTGGACATAAAATGGTTTTATCTCAAAACTTTGTATCTTATTCTACAGACAGCACTATGTTTGGTGGGGAATTTTCTTTTTCTTTGGTTGACATTTGGTTCAAACCACTTTTCTTCAGTATGAAATGATTATGGAATTGTATCTTGCTCTGCATTGTGTATTAAACACAGGATGTGAGATAAAGGAATGTGAAGTGAACAGTTGTGTAAAAGAAAGCCATTTGCTTTCTGTTTGAAGGGCCTAGAAAAACCAGAGTTTGATCATGCTTCCCTAATTAGCTTCATTTGTTATAACTTGCCTTCTGCTCACCCCCTTATGTAAGATTAATGATGGGTTTAGTTCTGAGAGACTTGTAGCCTCTCTCTTTCTTTCAGCAGAGAGTCTCAGTTCGAAGCAGTGAGGACAGAATCATGGCTTCCTCATGCTCCCTCCCTTGGGTGGCCTGTGTCAAGTTTGCATGTCTGCTTTGAGTTTTTTGTGGGGCCCTGCCTTTGGCTTTTGTTCCTGGCTGCACTTGGGCAGCTCCATCTGACTTGTATGTTTCTCCAGCAGTTTTCATTCACATCACTTCTGACCTTGATGCTGACCAGGGCTTAATCTATTTAAATCTGAACATGCCTTGATGACAAAAACTACCTGTTCTGCATGAGAATTGGTTGATCTTTAAACTCAAATGCTAACCTATTTTTTCCTTTTTTATTTCTTTCTTTTGTACATAAGTTTCTTACTCCTTTTCTCCTAGGAGGGGGGAAGTGGTTTTAATTCAGGAATAGAGTTGGGATCCCTCAGCACACCCGAACATCTGATACAACTCCTTTTTTTATTTTTCAGTCAGTTTGCTCCCAGGAAAGTCTTTATATGGAAAACAGGTAAAATGAAATTTTCTTTTTGATATCATTAAATAGTCTGTTATGTGTGTTCTGTATACTCCGACACACATATATATTTCATATATATATGTGTGCTTGAATATATGTATAAGTAAATACATATATCTATCATATATACCTATATATTCACACATATGTGTTATTTAATATGTCTAAAGGTACTGAATTCGGGGGAAAAAGTTCTCTGAGTTACTTCCAGACAGAGAATTAAACATTTTCCTTATTTAAAGTCTCAACCAAAGTATAATTCTTTTTACCTTTATCTGGTATTAGAAGAAAGAATTGTCAAGAACTCACAGGAATGAACAGTTTTATTGGTTTATTTAAAAGGCTGATAAAAGTACTTCAGTATTTGATAATGTTGACCACTTCTTTATATAGTTATAGAGGTAATCGTTGGAAAACCTTTTCCAAAGTTTCTCTTTCTAAACTATGAATCTTTAAAAACAGCTAGCATGAAAATCTTGCCTGAACTGGTTTGGATTTAGAGTATAACCAATTTAAGGTTTATTGAAAGGGAGAAAATGAGATATAAAGAGGATTAAAGTTTATAGGATACCTTGTGGATAAAAGCAGACATACTTCAAATATAACATATGTACTTTAGAAATTATTCTAGATGAATATATATTAAAATATTTCACTGGTTTATTCACAGATATCTAAGACATGAATGAAGGTTAGGATATAAAAGAATTCATCTTTACTGTAACAATCACATTTTTTATATGAATCATTATTGGTAACTTGTTTAGAAATATAGTTCTGGTAAAGAAAGCTGTTGTTGATTTTACTTTAGGTGTCAACTTAATAGGTATCTCTCTAAAATGGATTAAAATGGAGCTGGTGAAATACCAGTAAGTACATAGAGAAATTTAAACTTGTATTTTTGAAAAAAGTGATCTTAAAAAGTCAACATTCATATTAGCAGTTAGAAATCTTCAAGTAACTAAATTCTAAGAGAAAGACTCTTTTAGAGACAAAATGAAATTACAAAACAAGACTATGTAAGAGATTTTAAAAACTCTAAATCTTCACACAGATTTAGGCACATATCCCAGGACAAGAGTAAAATGGGGAATCCATGAGAATTAATATCTTTACAATGATTCTGAAAGCATTTCAAATTCTATGTCCACACTAAAAATGTTAAGTGCTGGCCTACAGTTCAATAATTGGGATCCTTATTCTTCCTATCATTTTCCCCACCTCAATCCCTAATCCTATTCATTTATATTTAAGCATCTGGTATATTCAGGTTGGAATTTCAGCAATAACATAATAATTGATCATACATATCTATCTACCTATTTATCTATCTATGTATGTGTGTATACATATATATACACATATCAAATATCATGTATAAACAAAACTTGATTTGGTCCCAAGAAAAATTAACCTGAAAACCTCCCTGTAAAAATTAATTTTACTTGGATATTTGCTTCTGGAATCTGTATTTTCTGCTGGACAGAAATGATTTTAATAAAACTTTATTTTTATCTGGATTGCAAAATCACAACTTGTATATTTAATTAAATTTCTATTATGCACATATCAATTTCTTTAGCTCTCTCTCCCCATCTTTTACACAACTTCAACTACTTTCTCCTTCCGCAAGTGTAGGGACAGATCTTAACCCTTTGATGCTGCCAATCACTAATTTTATTACATTAAAATTTAACATACGAGGAAGATGATATAGAGGATTTACTTACAAGAAAGTTATCATTATAGTAGAGTACATGTCCATTTGACATATGGCATTACTTAGGTTTCATATCATAAAAATCATGTTTTTCATTTCCAGTAGGCTCTTGGAAGACAGTACCATATGCAATGAGATCTATAAGAAAAGACAGCTTTTTCGGTTGGTATTGTTTACTTTCTTTAAACTGTGTTTTCAGATTATGTGGTGAAATCCATGTTAAATATAAGTGTATTACTGTAAAAATATTTCTTTTCATGGAAAAAATATTGTCAGTCCTTTCCTGACAGTTTGTTACACAGCCAGTGTGGAGCCATATTGGATAATATGGAATATGGGGCTTGAAAGCTTGTATATACTTCTTCAGGCTTCTTCCTGAGTGTCTGCTTTTGGAGGGCTAACTCTAGCTGCACACTGGTGTAAGATTTCCAGATCTATTGTGGTGATTACACTGAGTTAAAATGTTTCTGGCAGGATGAAATTATGCATTTATAGCCATTACTAGAAAATAAATCAATGATAACTCTATTTAGATAGCTGAATTTTAAATCACTACTTTCCATCATAATATTTCTAAATATTTCCAAAAGAAACTACAAAGTTCCTCCCAATTATAATGAGCAAGCAGTACTATAAATATACTCATTATCTAATGTGTATATTAAATGTATTGACTAATATATAAATAGTAGGATTTATCTCTGTAAGAGGAAAGACAAGATGAAACTCTTCTTGGCTTTAAAGATAGAAGACAAGATGAAACTCTTGCTGGCCTTAAAGATAGAAAACCTTTTTTAAAAAATGTGCTTAAAAGTATTTTTGCAGTCAATTTGAAATTTGAACCCATTAAGAATGCAGCCAATTTGAAATTTGAATGCCACCATTAAAAACTTATCATAAGGGCTGGGAATGTGACTTAGTGGTAGAATGCTTGCCCAGCATGCATGAAGCTCTAGGTTCGATTCCTCAATACCACATAAACAGAAAAAGCCAGAAGTGGCACTGTAGCACAAGTGGTAGAGTGCTAGCCTTGAGCACAGAGAGGCTCAGGCACAATGTCCTGGCCCTGAGTTCAAGCCCCAGCACTGCCACCATCCCCGCCACCCCCCTACCCAAAAAAAGAGTAAGCCAGGCTAATTGACTCATGCTTGTAATCCCAGCTATTTAAAAGGCAGAGATTTGTGAAGTTTGAGGCCAGCCAAGGCAAAACGTTAGTGAAATAACATCTCAACAAACAAGCTAGGCATAGTGATACCTAACTATCATACTAGCTGCACATGAGAAATGAGTAGGAGGATGGAGATCCAAACCCAAGGGGATGCAAGTGAGTTAAGGAACATGAGAATTTACCTGAAAACTAATTAAAGTCAACAAGGTCTGAGAGCTGAGGGCATTGCTGAAGTGGTAGAGTCTGCATAGCAAGCAGAGTTCAAACTTCATACCAACAAAATAATAAAGATTAAAAAATAATAAAAAATTATAAACTAACAGGATAATTTGTTCCCTTATAGTTTGTAAAAAAACAAAAAAGATGGATATTTTTCAACTTCTTTTGCTTTTCTAGATCAAATTACATAGTCTAACTTCCCATAATTTTAGACATTTTTTTCATACTTGATTATTAATCAGATAGCCTTGCATTTCTCTTTTAAAAAGAAAGAGGGAAAAAATTAAATTTATCATTACCCCTACGACTCACACACTTCAACCTAGTTTGTTTAAGCAGATACAGAAAACATACATATTCTTGGCTTTAAGTTAGTTTTATATAGCCCCCCAATAGTCTTTTAGAAGAGCTAGACTCAAGTCAGCCATCCAAAATACTAGTCCTATCACCCACCAAAATCATCAAGCAAAGGAACCAGAAAGGCAACTTAGCACAAAACCAGCGACATAATTGTAAAGGCAATTCTAAGTGTACATCATTCGTTGCTTGGGCAATAAATAACGATACAATGTACAGAAGTGAAGGAAAATAAATGTTATCAGTTGTAAATCACCAGAGAAACAGAACTCAGGGTACATGCGTGAGGACCAAATTTAATAACTAGTGCTTGCATGATAACTAGAATTACACCTCAGCCTCAGTTCCAATAACCAATCTTCTCCTGGATCCCCGCTGGAAAGATTTTTGAATGCAGGAAGATGGGTATGGACTTGAGCCTAGGTTTCCTTTGATATTTGTGATTCTGTACTAAACACAAACAGGTAAAGAACCTCAGCTAGACCTTGTTGAAAGGAACATTACCTAGAGAAGTATAAAGTATATTTCAATGTGCACATATCTAGAAATCATCAAATAAAATGGGATAGAGTAAATTTCCTTAATGCTAACTCCCTAAAGCAGTAATTTAATTCTGTCTGTTAAAACAGGCAAATCATGATTTGGGGCAATGATTTGAGCTGGCAGAATAGATGTTAAGAAGCTAAGGCCTAAATTTTTTTTAAAAAGCAAGAAAAAAAAAGAAGCAGCTAAGGTCATTGAGCAGGTTATTCAATGAAAGCAACACACACACACACACACACACACACACACACACACACACACACACAAAGTTTAGAAAAAGCTCTAGTCCAAAGGGTACACACCATGACCTAGCACCTTAGACCCCCTAAAAATGGTATCTACCACTTTGACAATTAAGATCTCAGCACTACTGTTACAAGTCCAGATTCCTCTCATGAAATACTAAAGTCATGGAAGAAAGAGAACTAAAACAGAATAAAGATGGAATAAAGGTCTCCCCCTCCCTGCTGCATGTGGACAGCTTTCTTCTGTGGCATTCTACGTGATGAATCTAAGGACAAGTGTTTTCTATAAGAAGTATCCTGATTGGCTACAGAGGAGATTAGTGCCATGTCTTGGTCCATCCAGTGTAGCAAAAAATGATCTAGCCCAAGCTAAACTGAGTCAGTGTAATCAGAATTTAAAAAGCACAAAGTTGGATTTGCACAGTGGAAGAAAACCCAAGAATGGAACAGGAAACTCTAGAAGAGACCGATTTTATACATCCTGCCTCCTGTGGCTTTCTTAAATTTCAGAAGAGTATCAAGAGGTAAAGTCATGTGTTGTTAGTAGGAGTGCTTCCTTCTGGTAGGCAGGTCTCTTCACAGGTAGTCATTGTTTCTGATTTCTGAGAGCAGAGACTGTAAGAAAATATTGAACAGCTCACAGGGTATGGAAGATTTCATCTATTTCCACCTTTCCAGTGGTTTCTGTCTTCCAAGTTTTCTGTTCTTTGTCCTATCTGCTTTTATAAGCTTCCCTTTATATATTAGTTATTTCATTTTATTTTCTCTTGGATCTATTTAACTTCTCAAATTTTCCTAAAAGAAGTTTAGGAAAGCAAAGTTGGAGCAAAACCTACTGTTTATGTGTACTTCATGTACAATTTGGCTGATTGGTGCTCTGTCCTTTGTGCTGCTGATGCACATGTGTGATATTTGATTCAATAATTCAATGTGAAGCAAGGCATGTGGGGCTCATGCCAGAAATCCTAGCTTATATAGGAGTCTGAGATTGAAGGAATGCAGTTCAAAACCAACCTAGGAAGGGAAGGCCATGAAACTAATTGGATGCAATAGTTTTTGTGTTGGTCCTTAATTAGCACCAAAAACCTGTAGGTAGAGCTGTGGCTCAAGAGGTAAAAATCCCAACCTTGAGCTGCCTGGGGCAGTGCCAAGGCCCTGAGCTCAAACCTTCCACATGAAAGAGTTCAATGTGTTACCTTACCTATTGATATCAAATTAGGGGTCACATTTCTTGCACATGATTAATTTCCCCTCCATTTATGTATAATCCACAAGAATCATAGGGTGCTTTAATTATGGATTTATTTTCATGTGCAGAAAAAAAAAGAAATTGGAAATATCAACAAAGTAAGTCCTTAAGCAGATTGGAAAGCAATGAAAATGCAAATTGAGTCACATTTCCAAATAGAGCACATTCAGTTTTGCATACTGCTTAAAGATACTCTGGAATCCGTGAAATTCACTTCTGGCTACTGGAATCTTTCCAGTACACCAATGTCTTTCTCTTTGAATTTGAAAAGAATGAATTCTTTCACACAATGGTGTGTCGAGTATTTCCATTGATTGCCTGGGAAAGTTTTGGATTTCTCTAGAACATTGGCCCTGTAGTTTTGATAAGCTTTAATGTGAGTAGCATTAAAACCCCATTCCCTTCGACCATGAAGGCTAAACTCACTGGGCAATGTCCTTACTATGGGCTGATAGAGTAAATTCTGTAATTTCTAGTCTGTCTATCAAAGCCTTGGTAAATTCAAATATCACATAAGTTATAAAGATGGAAAATGAATTAATAAATAGTCTGTCTAGACTTTGTACAATTTTTTTCAGGACAATCATTTCACACTGAAGAGAAAGAAGGGCTCTTCTTTAGTGGGAATTACTTTTAGACTCATTAACGATGATAATAACTTCTGAATATCATTGTTTACGTGAGTCAGGAGAACTTATCCCCTTATCCTCTCTCCAGGAGATAATGACTACATTTTATACCATGTCTGTCTAGTTTGTTTCTCCATCCCTGGCAGAGGAATCATGTGACATTTCTAGGTTTGACTTTTCTGTTTGTAGTGTTTGTGTTGTATGTGGTGCGGTATCTGTCTATCCATCATCAGGATATCGGTAGCCTATTTGTGGGGACAATTGGGTTCATTAAAGATGATGAATAGAAGGGTCCTGTGTAAGATAAGCCTCCAGGAAGAGTGCTGTGAGTGACATAGCCCTGTTCCCATGTATCTTTCTGGTGCTATGCTCCAGGGGCAACAGAGACAGCTCAGGGAGGACATCTGGGAGTCGGCAAAGCAGCTCAGAGAACGAACTCAAGTGGTCTGACCACCACAGGGCCTGGAGCAGCACAGACTCTGACAGCTCTAACCGCAACCTACGGCCTACCATGACTAAGACGGCGAGTTTTGGGGGCATCACGGTGCTGACCAGGGGTGACAGCGCATCCAGTACCAGGAGTGCCGGGAAGCTGTCCAAAACAGGTACTTAGTACTACATGGGTTCATGTATTGTTTTTTTGCTTTGTTTTGTTTTGTTTTTTATGGTCGGTCATAGGGCTTGAACTCTGGGCCTGAGTGCTGTCCCTCAGCTCTTCAGCCTAAGACAAGCACTCTACCACTTGAGCCACAGCACTACTCCCAGTTTTCTGATGGTTTATTGGAGGTAAGAGTCTCATGGACTTTCCTGTCTGGGCTGGCTTTGAACCACGATCCTCAGATCTCAGCCTCCTGAGTAGCTAGGATTATAGGCCTGAACCACCAGCACCCTGTTGGCATTTTTTAAAATTTATCCAAATTGTAGCAGTGTCTTTGACTTTAAATGAGCTGTTAGCCATGATGCAGATTGCTCTATGTTCTGGGAAGGAGAATGCTAGCTATATAGCTTAGTACATCCTTCTAGCCATGTGCCTGTCTCAAGTTATTAAACTCTCTAGTACTCAGTTTCCTTATTTAAAAATAATGCAGACTATTGAAAAAGTAGAACTCGGACTCATTTCAGTAGTGTTTAATCACCTAAGTTCTTTTGCTTACATTTTCCCAGTAAAGTTTAAATTAGATGACTTTTGTGATTTATTCCATGCAGCCTCCTGAAAGACAATTATACTATTGGTAGGCTTATCTCTTACATTAGCATAATGTTGGTATGACAGTGAGCATATGATTTTACTTATACATACCCGTGTCCTCATCTGAGATGTGATGATGAAAGTGTTGGGAAGGCTGAAAGTCTCAATATACACCAAGCTATTCTTTCTCATCTTTCTTTATGCCATTTGATGTTTTCATTCCTTCCTAGCAAAAGGGGAAAAATTGACTCTAAGAGAGGTCTAGAGTGTCTGTGTTGATAGATGCAAGTATCTTTTTCTGTCCCCCTCATTTTCGTTAGTTGGTTGGTTGGTTGTGGTGTCCCTCCACCTCTCCTTTCTCAAAGGTGATAGTCTGAGATAAGTAATTGAAGTAGCATAACTGTTCCTGAGGAGATGAGGGTTAATGATCTAGTAGAACTATTCACTTGAAGCAGCTTGAAACTGATGGATAAAAGACATTTTATTGTCTCAGAAAAGCAGAATCACTGGCTTTGGCTAGACTGGTGGGTTCAGAACTCAGTATGACACGTATGTGCTGGTGGAGCACTCATGGGTCTAGAGTGATAGATAAATGAGAGACTGGTGCAGAACACTGTAGGGGAGGGAAAAACCTGATCAGAGTATGGATGAGGCAGCTTTGGACTAAAGACTTTCCTAGCCACACTCATTTTGGGTCTCATCATTCATGATGGTGGTACTTTAACTTAATTGTGTCATAGACAGATTCCTCCTGAGAAATGATCTCATATTTTCCTACATAGGAAGGAAATAAATAGCATTTAGTCAAGTCCCTAACAATGAACTCTGTGAAGAGTTACAGGTCAGCTCCTTCTTTCTTCTTGCTAGTTCCGTTCACTAGTTTGTTGAGCTTTGGGTTTCTTAATTCTAATTAATTGCTCTCCTACCCAGCACTGAAGCAGCTGAAATCAAGTCAATCCAAATGCACTCTGGTACACTTGAGCTCTTGTAAACTAAGTAAGGTTAAATAGTTTGCAATCTTAACATGCAGAAACCAAGTATCTTAAGTGGTGCACTTACAAATTCCAGCACACCAAAAGAGCTCTTAAGATTTTAAAACTAATCATCATTGTCTCCCATGTACTAATTCCCAGTCACTTCCTAAGCAAAGCTCTTTGGGAACATTTAAGACCCTTCAAAACTGCTCAAATGCCATGTTTTTTAAAGGATGATTAGGGATTGTTAGGTACTCCAGACATTTTTTTCTTTTTTACTCCTAACTTAAGTGTCACCATCTGAAAGCTTGTCAAGGTGTAGGCATGGAAAGGGGAAAGGAAATTAAGGGAGATCCCCATAGGATATCAAAAAAAAACTTAAAAGTTTCCACAGGGATTGATGGAGTGATGCTCTAGCCTTGCTGCTATATACTTCAGAGCATCACAATGTTCTGATGTCTTGCCTCTTTGTTCACAAGAGAATTACAAACTCTTTTTTAAGCCATTCCAGAAATCAAATCTAGCCTGTGACATTTAAGCTACGTTTCCTCCTTTTCTAATTACAGAGGTTCTAGCTTGAGTGGGATAATAGTGAAACTTGTTCTGTCTTCAAACGATGCTTAACTTCATTTTCATAAAAAGCCCCTGCTTAGGTCTGAACAAATATCTGTGTGTGTGTGTGTGTGTGTGTGTGTGTGTGTGTGTGTGTGTGTATGTGTTGGTATAGGGACTTGAATTCATGGCTTCTCACTCCTGCTTGGCTCTTTTGCTCAAGACTGGTGCTTTACCATTTGAGCCACATCTTCACTTCTTTTTTTTTCTTTTGCTGGTTAATTGGAGATAAGGGTCTCATGGACTTTTGTGCCCCAGCTGATTTTGACCATGATCATCAGATCTTGGTCTCTGGGTTAGTAAAAAGTACAGGCATGAGCCTCTGATGTTCCTAAGGCCCAAGCTGCCTGCTGGGGGCTCAGCACACATGTATGGAGAACAATGATACCATTCCACTCTTCTTGTGAAGACTACTGGAATTCTAGTACACTGTGTATAAGTTCAGTGTTTTCTTAGAAACAGACATAAGGTTGAAAAATGGCAGCTATTTCTGCCTATACAATACTGCTTCAATTTTTGACAATCCCCATTGTAGCCACACTCCCAAGGTTTCTGAGTCATTAATAAGCATGGGATGGCACCTGGATTTGTACAGTTTTAATAAGTTTCCAGTTAATAGCTGATGTTGTTTATAGGGCAAACACATTTTGAAAATAAAGTGCTCTGTAGTAATCAGATGTCCTGTTACTTTAACAATTGTAGGTGGCCTGATAAATTGTTTTATAGATATCACGGGTATTCTTGCTGTTCTTAAATTCCTTGTCTACTTCCTAGAGTATTGTTGAATCCAGTATGATCCTCCTTATCTTTCCACCACTTCATGATCTTGTTATGTTGATACTTTCTTTCTCCTGTAATTTCTAAAGCTTTAAGTTAGTCTATGGAATAACCCTCTGAATATGGAAGGGTTTTTTTGTAGCTATTAAGAAAAAATCCTCCTTGTGGAGGCAAAATTAATGTTTTTTTTTTCTTGTTTCTTTCTTTGTTTTTGTTTTTCCCAGTGACTGAGCTAAATAGGCAAGGAAAGCTTTATTCCAAGAATTGTAATAGGAACCAAGGTTATTATAGTAGGAGAGAGAGAACTCAACTCCACTGACTGAAAATGTAGGGGTGCTTTTAAACACTGGGATAAGAAAGAAAGTTCTGGATGTTGTTGGGAAGGGAACTAGTCAATGTGATTAGTAATATACCAGTATATTTGCTATGTAATAATTGAGGTAAGTTTCCCGCCTCCTCTTCCAAACTTGAAAATATAGTATTATCTTTCTTAATAAATGAGTTTTTCTGTGAATAATTTTGAATCAGTATTTCACAAGGTATGCATATATCAAAATGTCACATTGTACGATGTAAATCTATCACCTATACATACACATATACTACATATATATATGTATAATCTATCAAATGTCAATTATACCCTTAATGAGTCTGAAAGAAGAAAGAATGATATTACAGATTCATGCCACAGCATGGATGGGCCTTGAACGTTGTATTAAATCAAAGGAGCCATTCTCAATGGACCACATAATTTATGATTCATTTTATGTGAAATGTCTACAATAGACCCTATCTATTGAGTCAGAATTAAAATCAGAGTTTTCCTAGGATTAGAGTAGGGATTAAGATATGTGGGGATGACAGTAAGGGCACACAGATTGCCTTCTGGGTTTCTAAAATGAGGTAGCACTGGTGGTTGTACAACCATGAGAGTGTACTAAAAGCCATTGGATTATATTATTTCAAAGGTTGAATTATATATGAAATATTCTTGACAAAGTTTCTGCAATAAACAAAAAATTATATGAAATAAAAAGCAGTTTTAAGTCTCAACAGTATAAGGATTGTTTGATACCACTGTTTGACCAGTTGATCAAGGAGGAAAAAATGTAGGAGATTATAGTAACTATTTGATAAGCAGAGACCCCTAATCATACTCCACCACCCCCTCACCTCTCTCCTCCTATGCTTCATCTTTCATTTTTTTCTTGTTCCTTCTTCATTTACTTGAAGACAATATGGCCTCAGGACAGCTTCATATTTAAAGTCTCCATATTTTAATCCTCTACATTTAAATTCCTGCCTAAGACACATACTTAAATGTAGGCCTAGAATCTCCTAGAATTTCTTTCCCATTTGGTTCTCCCTTAAATCACAGAGGGAGGGTTGAGCAGATAACAGAAGTGTGAGCTTATAGTCTTCAGGCTTAGAAATAGGTCCCTGGAGTCTGGTTGCCTTGAAATAAAAGTACAAGTACCAATTTCTGCCCATCAGACCTGGGATTTTCCCTGTCCTAGCGATTGCATTTTAATGATGGTTTCCAGGTCTTTAAGAAAGACCTGATAGGAGAGAGTCTTATCTTAAAACACATTAAAAGTCTAAGAAAAGAGAGGTCAGAGAGGGATTTGGTGTCTGAAAGAAACCTATCTAACGCTTAGCCAAATGGGAGAACTTGTAACCAACTTCTTCCTAATTGCTCTGGCTTCAGTCTGGGGACTTGTGTTTTATGGAAGAATTTGCTGGAAGTTAAAGGCGCACCTGAAGAATACCTGAGGAACAAAGCTTAATGAGTGGCAGGGACTAGAACCAGCACCTAGAAACTTTTCCCTGGCAGATTTCTGCTTCTCCTAGAGAGTCTGTCCAGGCTCCTCAGTTCTTCTCTGACCCTTCCTGGCTTTCCATTTCACTTTGTCTAGTGATTTCTTTCCTTTTTTTCATTTTCTGTTTTCTTTCTTGTGAGCTCACCTAAGTCTCTCCCTTTGCTCTGCCTTCTCTTCTTTTCTCCTCCAATCCTCTGTAGGGCCCAACTTCAACAGCATTCCACTGTGAGTAGCTTTGAATGTCTGCCTAGCATGTTCTAGAACTTTGCCCAGGCTTCGTTGTCCCTTAAATCGCAGAAAGTGGAATGGGATGAAGTGGAGTGGGGTGGAGTGGGGGAGCAGGTATGACATTGTGGCTGACAGGCTTAGAGCATGGCCCCAGAGTGAAGTTGTCACTGAGTGAAAATCAGTTTAACCTGTGTGGAGATCTGTTCTTATCTTCTGGATGAGGTTGCTGGGATAATCATGGCTGCTAGTTCATAGACAGTGATTAGCATAGTGCTTTTTTGTGGTCACACCTTTTATATTCTTGCCTTGACTGTCATTATATTCCTGAGCAAAGGAAAACAGAAATCTTTAACCCTCCATTCGTGAAATACTATAGTCTTCAAATATCAATGACAGTTTGTTTTAAATCTTTGAGCATTCCTCATTTGGAGCTGTTTATCATTTTTTTCTAATATCCATTTTAAAAAGTCAAGAATCTCAGTATAGCATGCTGCTGAGAGGTAAGTTAGGTGATCAACATTTGCAGTGTTCAGAGTTCAGCAGAAAGACCCATTTCTAAGGCCTGACTTCCTGTTTGCTGCTTAGCTGATATGCAAAGGAAGTGTGACTTCATATCTACCCTTGCAAGTGTTGAGATTTGAAGCCCAATTTAGTCTTTCTTCTTTTAACCTGTGAAAGGAAAACATTTATATTATCTCCTGTGCCTTCCTGTTGATGTTGCTAATTTCCCCCCAGGTTCCAGAGGAAAATGCTACTGTGAATCAGTAATTAATGACACCTATCTAAAGCGAAAATTAACTCATTCTTTGGATCTGATTGTGACATTTCAATCTGTTTGCACCCCCTCTTCCCAGCCAGTTCCCTCCTATGTTACCTGAGAGACACTCCATCTAACTGAAAGACTCACAAACACTGAAGGCACAGCCCTTGCTATTAGTAACAATAATTTCAAATATATGAAATATAGTATTCCATGTGCCTTAAAATAAATAATGCCCACTTTTTCTTATATAGTTTATATGAGGTGTAATATTCGATTGCTCACATCATTTTTTATCTTTAATTTTTAATATCCAAACTCTACGTTGTTCCATCTTTATACCAAAGGAAACTAATATTCAATAGTTCAAAGCTGTCCCTGCTCAGAAGATTAGAAAGAATCAAAGTCCAGATTTTTTTTTTCATTTTCCCTTGACTTGTAATCTTCTGCATGCTCTCCTGAGATCTTAAAAGAGATGTGGTTTGATTTTTCTATTTGTTCTTTCTTGGGATAAAGATATAGGTTGGTGTTAGAAGACTTGCCTAGTATTTGCAAGGCCTTAGGCTCCATCCCCAGAATTACCTGTTTCCCTTTTAAATATGTTCACTTGAACATGCTATATGCTCAATAGGAAATTATCCAGTTGTCCTACTCATATAGGGGATAAAAAAGCTATTTCTACCCATGCCTCTCTGACATTTCATCATCTGGGTGTTAGGGAAACAGTACTTTGAAACATGTATGTGGTCAGCATATCCTCAGATCCCTGCTTCAGCTGCAGTGTCTTAACTTCTGCACCCATTCCCACTCAATAAGGTCCATTTGTGGCCTTAATTACTTGAGGTATGGGAATTTACAGGTAGTGACTTCAGGGCTGTAAATTTCTGAACGCCAATTTATCATTTAGTGGTATGTGAAGACAGTGAGACTGTGCTCATTTTCAGTCCTTCTTGTCCTCAAATTTTTAAAAACTATGGAGCAAAAATGCCTGTATAATGACAGCCCAAATATGGGAGAGTCTTTAGTTAACCTTGTCCTACAGTTCACCTGTCCAATTCTTGAATCGATTGGTTATAGAAAAGCGAGCGTTTAGTCCCAGATCTTTTTGTCTCTCTGCTTGTCTGTGTTCTGAATGCCTGGTTGATTCCTACCTCCTTTTCTCTCTACCAGGTTCTGAGTCTTCCAGCAGTGCAGGCTCTTCGGGATCACTGTCCCGTACCCACGCCCCTCTCCAGAGCACACCCCTGGCCTCCACCTTGGCAACTGGATCCCCTGGCTGTTTGCCCTATGCAGAGAATGGAATAGGAGGCCAGGTCCCTCACAGCAGCACCAGCTACATCCTCCTTCCACTTGAAGCTGCCACAGGCATCCCTCCCGGAAGCCTCCTTCTTAATCCACATACAGGTTAGTCACCATCCATGTGAGCAGAGAACCAAAGATTATCAGAGGTTTTATTCTTGCATTTGGTATTTTTGAACTTGTAGGTGCGTTGTCTGAAAATTCCTGAATGGACATTGGTGGGGGGTGGAAGGGGGTGGTGAAAGACTGTTTTGTAGAATTTTATTATTGTTGTTTTATAGTAGAATTACAACTAATGGGTGTTTCTCAGACATCATCCTCTGGCTAGCATGTACCACATGAGACGGAATCTGAACCAAAACTATTCCAGGACCTTGAGGCATCCTTGGAAACTCAGCAAGCTTTTAGATAGAGAAGCTGCTTTTGCATCAACATAATTCCACGCAGCAACTTCAGAGGGGATAAATAAGAAGCAGTGGCACTGAGAGCAAATCCACATGGATGGTAGGGATAAGGGTTTGGAAAATTGACCATGGTTTCATCCGTGGTGAGTGGCTATTGCCTCTTTAAATTTGCATTGTTCTGGTGGATCAGTGGGGTGTTATAAGAATTCCAATGGTCTTGGGACAGAGAGGCCCCAACATTAGCAAAGACATGGAGCAACTCTTGCTACATGAAAAAGTTCTCTGCAAGAGGTAATTTTACCTGAGCTCTCAAGTACCTCAGGTACGGAAGAAGAGGGTACTAGGAATAAATATAAGTCACAAACCCTCTGCAAAATCACAAGTCAGCTGTTCACAATGGAGGGCTCCTGTGCTAACATTCTGGATGTGTTAGCAAGGCTGTGGTAGAGGTCTTTGTTTGAGAAACTTGTCCTTGATAAGTTACTTCTTAAGTGGCCGTTATTAGTGACTGAAAAAGAAAATGAATTGTTTCAAAATAGATCTGAGGTTAAGCTTAGAACATTTCAACTCTTTTCTTCAATAAGTTAAGCTTGAAAATGCAAAACCGATGAACATCTCATTCAAGTGATCTAACTCAATCTTCACACAGCTAGTGCTACTGCAATCAGGAAAGTCAGAGAAACATGAAAATGATCAGAAAATAGTTACTTGAATAATTGCTACATTTTCATAAAACATATGGCACATTATCAAAGGATGGAGATGGAGATGATATGAATATGCCATAAACTTGAGGAAAACAGCACATATTCATTTTATTGAAAACCATTTAGAAGCTCCAGATTAGAAACTTCTAAGGAGGGTTTGTGGATAGCTTGTATTTTCTTTGGATTATTGCATGTACCATAAAGGAAATTGGAAAAAGCTAGAAGCATATTCATCACTCTGGGCATCAATCTGTCTCTCTGTTGGTTAAAACTCTTTCACTTTTAATTGAGATACAGGGCTCATAGAATGAATGCAAGCTATACATTCTTTTAAGTGGCTTGCTTTAAGCGAAATTACAGCATTTCAACCAAGCTCGGCAAACTATTTTTGGATATGATGCAGGAATATTGTTGGCATGGTTGTGCATGTGTATGTGTATATTATCATCTATAATCTTGTTTACAGAGAAAAGAAGTAGAACGCTGTTTGTGCCACATCCCAATTCTTCTTTATTGAATGGAGTCACTTAGAGCTGTTATCAAAATATCTCTCTTGAAAAAAGATCTCAACTAAGGGAAAGGATATAATAATACTGTTGCAGTTTTTCCAAACACACATTTGTCTGATCTGACAAAGTCTACTCATTAAAATGTCCAAGACCAGAAAGAAAACATATTCTTACATTTTATAGTATAGTTTAATTGTGGGATCCAAGAAATTATGTTTCTTTTTTCTGGAGTGTCCTTGTATTTCTAAACAGAAAATGTACACACATCTGTGTTTATAAGCATCTAATATATATTATATAGATAGATAGAGATAGATTTGCCTATGTATATCTATGCACATTAATGTATATATCTAATTTCTCATATGACTTAATTTGTTATTCATCTCCTTTGATGTGTACTCATCTTTTACTGCACATACTGTCAACTAGAAACCATACCTCTTCCTCTTTCCTAGATAAACCTTCTATCATGGACATGGAAAAAAAATGTGGTGTTACATACCAAGAGCTTTGGTCTACTTTGATTTTCATATGCATTGTCCTCTGGTGTATTTCCTTGTTATTAACACATTCATAACCCCTTCCATCTTTTGATCTTGTTTTACTTTATCATTTGCCTGCCCAATAGTGGATTAGACTTTTATGCACACTGTAAGTGCTTAATGATTGCATGTCACTGAAGTAGTATCTATACTCACTACAGATATTGGTCTGGAAAGTGGGGCAGTTTTCTGCCTAATGTCATCTATCTGGTTCACATGTCAAATCTGATGACAGACTAAGACAAGCCATGTTTGGAAAACTCCACAGAGCTCCTAGTCACACATCTGTTGCATGAATCGGCAGTGAAACTTCCTTCATCAGCACCATTGGCTTAGCTCTTCCTGAGTGTGATCAGGCACACTGGAATAGACTCACCCACCTCTGCTTCTAAGATTTCTCCAGGACATTTAGCAGGTTTAGCTTTTGTCTTGGCCTTACCCTCTGCATTCGGCCAGCCCAAATTTAACTCAGGACCTCATGATTATTCTTTATTTGCTCTTTAGCTATCTGGATGATTGGGCTGTGTGTCACAGTGTTTTATACAACATAGTCATTCATGAAAGGCAAGTCTGGACTCTGGACTTGATTTTCCTCCAGTTCTCTTACACCAGTCTCCTTCTGGGAAATATTAGCAGAAAGTTCATCTTTGCTGGGCTATTTTCTGTTAACTCAGCATATCATAGAAATGCCAATAGGCAATCCCCACATACTAGTTAATAACCATCTGTGCTAGCTTGCCCTTTTGCTCTGCTTTTATCTTGCACAAATGCAGTTATGTTATGTGAGGGCTGGCCAGAGGCAAGGGCCACATTCTGAGGAACCTTTTACCACTGTTTTCTTTCAAGTGCTCCTGACGGGCTTCCATAATGCAATACCTTTGATTGCTGTCTGGATTGTTAGAATCTAGTTATCCAATGTGATTCCCTTTCCATTTTTCTTAACACTCTTATGGAATTTTGGGGTAGTCTCCATAAATATATCCTTTCCCAGCCCAAGTTCATCATTGCCTACTGCACACCCCATCATTTGCATATAACTTTGAAACACTAGAGAAGAAAATCTCTTTGTCCCATCCTTTCTGTTTCTCTCTGATTAATTACCTTTCTGTAAGGTAGATAACAGAAATATCTTCGTGTCAAGGTCATGTAACTACCTTGTTTCTTATGTGAATTATTTGTGAGACTCCTTGTTACCTGTACCTTTATAAGCTTCTATGGGGAAAAACCAAATTGAGTTAATTATTAATTAATTAATTTCATGTTTTGCTGGAATAAATAGCAGAACTGGCCACTATCATTCACATGGTTTTGAGATGCTATCTAATACATTAAACACATTAACACGGACCATGTTAATGGAACAATTTTTCATCTGATGTCATATATTTAAGAAGAATGACTGCTCAGCATTTAATCCATTAATCCCCTGTTTTGAACTCAGTGCACTCAAGTGCCCTGGCACATTTCATCTATGGTAGGCAGCACATGAAAGCCAGAAAGACCCAGGCCCAGGCAAGTTTTTCCCTTCACTTCAATGTGTAGCAGCTGTTTTGCAAGCTAATTTCTTGTATTCAGTTGTAATTGTATCTGTATTTGTATAAATCATAGAATACACAGAGCTAGTCACTGCCTGATTTAAAGTCAAGAGGGAATAGATTGCAGATTTTGAACCTAGAAGAAACTTTATTTTTAAGATAGAAAACTAATTAAAACAACAAAAGATAGCTAAAATTAAATGTTGAGTAATAGGAAAAACAAGTGCTGAGAATATTAAGAACATTAAAAACAAGGTTGAGGAGACTTATTTGCTACTCTGTGAACCTATTCCTGGCACATTTACTTCCCATGGCAGCATGGTATCATTTGTTATGAAATATTATCTCGAATGGTTATTATATAATGTATAGAATTCAAAGTTTCTTGCTTTCTCTCTGTCTCTCTCTCTGTCTCTCTCTCTCTCTCTCTCTCTCTCTCTCTCTCTCTCTCTCACACACACACACACACACACACAAATATAGTCATAGTCAATCCAAGTGGTAATAACAGAGAATGATAAACTTCCTTTACAGTCCTTAAAAGAACTGGCTCTTCTCTCCCTAGCATTTACCTTGAGTCACCACACCCTCAGCATTTGCCTTCTCACCATGCCCCACTTCATAGTTGAAACATAATTCGCTGAAGAGCAGGACCCACACACACATGAAGGGTAATCTTGGGACATTTTGCATTATTCACATCACCCACAGTGAGATAAGAGACATGTCTAGCCTTCCAATCACTTCCCTCCTGTGCCCTCAGATGGATCACTATTCTGATTATCACTCTTCTGATTTCAACTGCAGGACATTCTAGATCTCTTTGTGAGCAATTTTCTTTTCATTATTTTTTCTTCCTATTTTTATCTTTATGAAGTGTACAGAAGAGTTGCCAGTTAGCAAATCAGTTTATGAATACAATGCATCTTGTTCAATGTCACCCCTTTCAATAGTCTCACCCATCCTTCCCTCAGCTACCCCTTCCTTCACTCTTCTGAATTTTGAAGGATGTACATTGGATCCTTGACTACATTCATCCCCTCTTCTCCTCAGTTGTCTACCCATCCCATTTCCCTTTGATCCCATCCCACCATCCCTCTTTCAAGTACCTGTTACCTGGTGTTTTATTTTGTTGAACTTTGGTTTTGCCTTTCTAAGGAATTATACTATCTGAGATCTCCCTTGGATCTACCATATTTCAGTTACATTTGTATATACTTGCATATCGCCCAATGTATTTACTTATCAGTTTATAAGCTAAATCTACTTCCATATGTAAGGGAAAACAAGCGTCTTTTGTCTCTCTATGCCTGATTTACTTCATTTCACATAATATTTTCCAGGTCTTTCCATTTTTGTATAAATGATAAGATACCATTCTTTCTAATGGGTGATTAAAATTCCATTGTGTATATATAAAATTCCATTATGTATGTATACCATATGTTCTAGATATATTCATCCATTGAAAACCATCTGGGCTAATTCTATACCTAAGCCATGATACAATAAACATGGCTGTGCTGGTGCTTTACTGTATCCTGGTTTGTAATCTTTTGAGTAAATGTCCAGTAGTAGAATTGTTGGATCACAGGATAGTTCTATGTTTAATTTTTTTTTGTTATTGTTGCTCGTGGGGCCTGAACTCTGGGCCTAGGTGCTGTCCCTCAGAACTTCAGCTCAAGCCTAGTGCCCTACCTCTTGAGCCACAGCACCACTTCTGGCTTTTTTTTCTGCTTATGTGGTGCTGAGGAATTGAACCTAGGGCCTCATGCATGTTAGTCAAGCCACTGAGCCAACTTCTCAGCCCTATGTTTAATTTTTGAGGAACCTTCACACTGCTTTCCAGAGTGGTTGAACAAGTTCACATTCTCGCCAACAGTGTATTAGGGTTCTGTTTGGGACATAGCCTCACCAGCATCTGTTAGCCTTTGTTCTCTTGATATAATGGCTATTCTAATTATGGTGATGTAGAAGCACAATGTTGTTTTGGTTTGCATTAACTTTATGGCCAGAGTTGTCTAGCATTTCTTGGTATGTCCATTGACCAGTTTTACCTCATCTTCTGAGAAGACTCTCTTTAGCTCATTAGTTTAGCTCCCATTTTCTAACAGTCTGTTCTTGTTTTGGAAGTATCATATCTACTTTATTTCTTAGAATAATGTTTTCTCTGAGTCAGGTTTTAGGTCTTGCTCTCACCTACTCCTTTTTTTTTCTAATTTTCCTCAGATGATTGGTGAGCCTTGCTTTCTCTTCATATGTATTATTAGCTGTTAAGCCAGTCTTTTTTTCTGCCATCATATGTTTCAAGCTCTGGACATGATGCTCCTGTAAGATCTGCATCTCCAAATGAGGCATAGGTTGAGGGGACTTGAATAGATGTTGTAAGAGAACTCCGAGTACAATCTGTACCATCTCCACAGTGCCCAGAGTGAGGAGGGGATCCTCCTCTAGAACATTCTGGGCCTCATTCTGGGAGCCCAACTCCTTCTAGGCCTTCTGCTCAGGTTCCCAGAGAAAATTCAGCTCATGGAGGAGCACTCTGTTCTCTCCCTCCAGCAGGGCTGCAGGAGCTCCAAAGAATGGAAAAAAGGAAAAGACTCATAAATAGCTCCAGAGTTTACAGATCCATTTCCGTGTGTTCTGATTCTACCAGTACTGTGATTCTACATTGAATCCTGTTCTTCACTTTGCTTGACCTCTCACTCATTGAGTAACAATTTTCAGTTGTGGTGTGATTGTTGTTGCCATGGTTCCTAGTTATGCCTACTTGGAGAATTCACTTAATGATGTGGTGCACTGAAAGGTGAATGAACTCTGGGGTCTTACTGATTCTTCCTGGTTCTCTCACTTACTCTATGTATATATGTTGTCTGGTCTCTCTAAGCTCCAATTTAACTTCAATGACATGGAAAGGAGTGTACACATCTACAGAAGAGCTATGATTGTGTGTGTGTGAGGCACTTGACGTATGAGAGACTGGTTCTCTTCTCCTTATCTACCCTTTCCCTCTCTCCCCTGCTGCCCTTCATTTTCTGCCATGTGGCCTCCTCTTCCTGAACCCTCTTGGGAGCATTCACCTCCTCTTCAGCAAAACAAGTAGCTGATTCCTTCCGTCCTCATGATTGTTTTACAGATGATGAAAAACTGCTCAACTATAAAGCCACCCTATCATTAGTGTGGCTTAAAAACTATAGTAAGACATGTCATTTTTGCATAAGGCAAGATAAGCTCCTGACAAGACAGTTCTATGTTGAATTGATTACAGATCACTTTAAATTATAAACCCCTATGCATCCCCAAAAGGGATGGCCAGCTGGACACATTAAGTTCTTCTGTGCATGCACTTGTGAAACTGATAGTGGTTGTGAATTGGTGGCCAAGCAAAGTAAAAGCAACATCAATATATTGATAAATAACTTGTGCTGAAGGTAGCTAGAGTTGGATAAATGAGAAGCAGGCACTCTCCCTTGGAGTATATTATTTTGCTGATGGCCGTGAGGAGCAGGGCAGCAAAACATGGCTTCGTGAAGATTGCTTCTCCACTGGGTGCCACTGTTCACAGATACACTGAGTTTTGACATAGCTCTCTGAAGGTGGTGGGTTTATTTGCTGCTTTTTAAACTGCTATGGGCTTATACTGACTTCTACTTTAATCTAGTTAGGATCAGAAAGCAGGAAAATCTTCACCATAGTGCAGGCTCTGGAGTCTTGGATTCCCATTGCCCTGCCTCTTTATACTTTAGGTGACTTTGGGAATATTAGTCTGAGGAGTTTCTTTCTGCCAGGGAGATTCTGAAACTCTCATCCAGACCAGCTTCTGATTCCATTGCAGGTCAACCCTTTGTGAATCCAGATGGAAGTCCTGCAATATACAACCCACCTGGCAGCCAGCAGCCCCTACGCAGCACAGTAGGGGGGCAGCCCACACAGCAGCCCCCACAACAGCCGTCACCTCAGCCTCAGCAGATGCAGCCGCCGCAGCCCCAGATGGCAGGCCCTCTGGTCACTCAGGTGAGCAGCTGTTGAACAAGAGGCAGGGAAGCCTCCGAGAGAGGAAGTTTGCACAGTCTTCAGAAAAAATAGTGCATCAAAGATGGTGTACCATTGGGTACTCTCAGCTGCCAATCGAATTTCTTAAGTAAATCCTATCAAGCCTAGAATCTTTGGCTCCAGTGTGACAAAATGGTATCTGATGTTTAAGTGTAGATAGAACTGAATTCCCCATCTGGTGCATGTGCCTACAGGAAAAAAAAAAGCCAGGACTGGTGAAAATTAGTCAGTGTTTTCTCAGGTCTCAATGCTGTGTTATGCCCAAGGAATGTTTGTCACGGTGACTGAACTCACAGTTCCACCCACTCCTCACCCTTTCCCATCACAAATCAAATGCTTATGTCTGCAAAGAATCAGTAGTAAGTTTGTTATCAATGGGAAGAACAAAAGTCAGTTCTGAAATCCACTGGCTACTCTTTCCTGTGCTGTTGAGTAAGATATAGCGCTGTTCTCCCTTCCTAGGCCAGATATATAGACCAGATACATATAACCACTAGCATCCAACATACACCATTAACTTCTTAAAGATCAGATATGCTCTTTCTGTGCAAATGAACACTCCTCAGGGCTGTTGGGCTCTGAAGTACATGGCCTTTTCGTTTCTTGGGCAGCTGGTTTTCCTCTCCGGGTTGCAGTGAACTAAGTAAGAAACCCTTTAGAGACAGTAGTATACACTCGAATGCATTCTACCTGCTGGTCCTGCATTACCTGATGGTCTTTTTTCCTTCCTTCAGTCTGTCCAGGGTCTGCAAGCCAGCTCCCAGTCTGTGCAATATCCTGCGGTGTCTTTTCCTCCACAGCATCTTCTGCCTATGTCTCCAACACAGCACTTTCCCATGGTACAGTATTCTATATAGATGACTTTTCTGGACAGCGAGCATTTTCATTGGTCTTACTATATTTTGTGCAGATCTGGGTGATGTTATAGGGATGCTTCTGGGCTGACTGTGAAGGTGTGATGTGGAGGGGTGGGGGAGAGTATGTTTGTGAAGGTCTCATTCCTAAGCGTCTCATTTCTCCGCAGTCATCTGTCTGAAAAGTGTTCAGTGTTTCTCTGTTCTGTAGCCTCTTTTAAGAGTTTGATGCCCTCAGAGTTAGAAGTCAGAAGTCAGAACTTGGTGTGAGGGCTGAGTGGGGCCAATCTCCAAATTTAAGTCAATATCATAACTGCCAGCACCCTGTGCTCCTGACATAGATGCTCTTCTAGGACTCCAATCCTTAGTTTCCCTCCATTGCCTTGACTGTAGCAGGTCTTTCGGGGCAATACTGAAAGAATGGGCATTGCCCCTAAATGTAAGTGCAGGCCAGTGAACAAATGCACCCTACTATAGGCATGTGACCACCTCAACCCACTGTGACACTTGTTCTGGCAGTTTTCAGCAACAGTGGCTTACAATGAAAATAGCCTTAAGCTTCTCATGCAGCATGCAGATCTGTGATTGCTGCTGAAAAGACGAGATAACTTCCTTCTGGGAAGCACACCAAGCCCATCTTATCTGCAGCATCATCCCCAAGAGCCTGAGCCCCCAGTGAAAAACAGATTAAATTGTTTCTGTAGAAAAAGGAAGATTAGAATGATCATAGTGCCCATTGGAAGGGTACTGTGACTCATACCTGTAAGATCAGTTATTCCAAAGACAGAGATTAGAAGGATCCCTGGGCAAGGAAGGACAGCCTGGGCAAAAAGCTAGCACGAAACTATCTTCTAAAAAAAAGGAAAGTGTAGGGAAATGCATCTGTCATCCCTATGTGTGTTGAAGACTACAATCTGAGTCCAGCTCAGGCAAAAGTGTTAGACTCTGAAAGATAGCGTAAAAAGAGCTGGGGCCATGACTCAAGTGGTAGAAAACCTGTTTAGCAACTGGAGCTCACAGATGAAAGAAAGAAAGACAGAAAGACAGACAGACAGACAGAAAGAAAGAAAGAAAGAAAGAAAGAAAGAAAGAAAGAAAGAAAGAAAGAAGGAAAGAAGGAAAGAAGGAAAGAAAGAAAGAAAGAAAGAAAGAAAGAAAGAAAGAAAGAAAGAAAGAAAGAAAGAAAGACTGACAGAAAGACTGACAGAAAGAAAGAAAGAAAGAAAGAAAGAAAGAAAGAAAGAAAGAAGGAAAGAAAGAAAGAAAGACTGACAGAAAGACTGACAGAAAGAAAGAAGAAAAGAAAAAAGGGAGGGAAGGAAGAAGGAAGGAAAGAAGGAAGGAAGGAAGGAAGGAAGGAAAGAAGGAAGGAAGGAGGAAATTGAGGTCAAATTATGTAGCAGTTCTGACACACACTTGGGAGGGTTGAAGCATGAATGTTCATGTGACTCTTGCATTGCTTATTTGTTTCCAAGTTGAACCTTCCCTCTCCCAAATCTATGTGCCTCCGGTCTGCCTCCGGTCTGCCTCCGGTCTGCCTCAGGTCTGCCTCAGGTCTGCCTCAGGTCTGCCTCAGGTCTGCCTCAGGTCTGCCTGCTCCCTCCTTTCCACACTGATGCTATTATCTCCCCCTCTGTTTCATCTATGGCAGAGAGATGATGTAGCAGCCCAGTTCAACCAGCTTAGTCTAAGCAGGCAGTCCTCTGGAGAGACTCCGGAGCCACCATCCGGTCCTGTCTACCCACCCTCCCTCATGCCACAGCCAGCCCAGCAGCCAAGCTATGTCATTGCGTCAACAGCCCAGCAGCTTTCCACAGGGGGGTTCTCGGGCTCAGGCCCTCCCATCACCCAGCAGGTCCTTCAGGCCCCACCCTCTCCACAAGGATTTGTGCACCAGCCTCCACCAGCACAGGTAATGTGCTTTTATTCTCTCACCTGCACACTGGCTGACTTGCGGTGAATCCGTGCTGTTTTTCCTTGTAGCATATTGCCAGATCCACTGGTATTCCCCATCCCACAAACTGTTTCTCTTTCTGTTCCATGGAGTCTCACAGTCCTGGGTGTCAGCAAGTCAATTGGTTATAACAGATTCAACTGCCCACAGCACAAGGAAGGGGTGTGCCAAGCTGGTACAGAAGCAAGGAAAAGCATTGGCTTCCTTTGCTTGGCTCTTCCTGCCCTGGGGGACATTGAATACTCTCTTCCTGCTGCTCAGGAAATCTGGTGGGGTTTTTTTTTTTTTTTTGCTTCTTATCAATTCACAAGCATTTTCTGGAGCTAATCTGATGCTCCAGGCAAGCTCCTCTATGAATATAAAGAAGGAAGGTAAGCCAGTATCCACTGTCCTTCCCTCTCCCTGAGGAGAGGCAGAACTCCCGCCTGCTCTCGCAGGTAGCCATTAATCATATTTAATTGACTTGAGCATGTAAGACACCACAGATCACTGATTTTTACTGTCTTTCCGAAGACCGATTATGTGTTACTGTTCGCCACTGAGCATCTCTGGTGCCCTCCTGGGTATCCCTCGCAGAATATTGGAAGTGATTACTGTCAAGATGTAAAATGCGCACAAGTGTCTCCTGGTCCATTTTCAAGGCGCATATATCCTAAACAAATTCTGTCCTAATTATGAAGCACTGCAGAGCATGAGCTGTTTAAAGTGCAGTGTCGCCATCTTACCCTTTCTTTCATGGCCCTGACATCCTGAGTCAATTATTTTCTCTTCAAGCCACACAAAACCCTCTACCACACCATAATCTCCACTCAGTCGTTCATTTTATCTGGAATGATTAATTAACAGTTCCTCTTCAGTCATCACCTCGGGAATATTTCTTTCCTAGTGGGATTTAAGGACATGAATAAAATAATTTTAAGTTACAGGATGAAAGTGTTAAGTCATGCATTCGTTACTTTACTCTGAAATTAAATACTTTGTGTTTCACTTTTGGAGAAAATATAGTTTTGATTTTTTTTTGGCCTAAAGAGCATCTATACCTCCGGATTCATTTCTGTGGTCAAGGAGAAAAGTGAGCAAACTACTTAGTTGAAAACAATTTTTTTTTAAAGTCATCTTCCAGGAATTTCAGTATCAGGCCATTGTAGAAACAAAAGCAATTCAGAACCCTGATATGCCTGCCACAGAAATGCTTTCATTCTCTCTTCAGTGGATTTTTAAATATAGAAAAAAGGGTGACAAAATGATGTGTGTGCACGGCTCATGATTGTCATGGACATTTCTGACTTCCTTTTTTAAAGAACCACAGACAGAGTATGGGCAGAGCCCACAGTGACTTTCAATTTAGTAAACATTTTCAAATCTAGATACTCAACTATAGAGCAATAAAAGTAACTCAATTGAGGTTCAGCCCCTGGATGTTTATGGAAATATTCTAACTTTATGCAGAAAATAACCTTGAAGTTCGGTTTCTTCTGCCCTGGTTGAGTTCTTTGAATGTCCATCAGAAAGGAATGCATAGGAGACACACAGAAGAGCAATTTAAAGAAAGGAAATGGCATCGGGCTGGGAAGGTGGCTCAGTGGTAGAATGCTTGCCTTGCATGCATGAGGCCCTGGGTTTGATTCCTCAGCACCACATGAGCAAAAAAGAAAAAAGCCAGAAGTGGCGCTGTGGCTCAAGTGCTACAGCATTAGCCTTAAGCTGAAGAGCTGAGGGACAGCGCCCAGGCCCAGAGTTCAGGCCCCACGACTGGACCCCCCCCCCAAAAAAAAGAAAGGAAATGGCAGAAGGTTCTTTAATTTCTTTTTAAATATATAAATAAGTAAATAAATATAGTTTCTTTTTTTTCCTTTATTTCTTTTCCTACCCTAAGCCAAGTATTTGAAGGTTCTTCCTATTTTAACATGATTGGTTCAAAATGCACATTTCCTCCCTCTTAAATTGCCTTTACTCCTTTCTCCATTTCCATTTCAAGCCTTTCCAACATATCCTCTAAAAGACTGAGCCACTTTCCCATGGCTCATTCCTAAAATCCTACCTACTGAGGAGGCTGAGATCTCAAGATCACTATTCAAAACCAGTGGGGCAGGAAAGTTTGCGAAACTTTTGCTTCCAATGAACCACCAAAAAGCCAGAAATGGAGCTATGTCTCAAGTGATAGAATACCAGACTTTAGCAAAAAACCTAAGGGTGAGTGCCTAGGCCCTGAATTCAAGCCTCAGTATTGGGACACACACACACACACACACACACACACACACAACCGAAAAGATTTATCTCAGTTCAACTTACATTCTTCATTTCTGAAGATGAAGATGGGCCAACTACTCATTTGTTTCTATGGTTAATAGCCATAATTCTGAAAAGCTGAGCATTAGTGTTGGTAGAAGTGTCCAACCTCTGGAAAGAAAATAAAAGGATAGCTTTGAAAAAAAAACTTGCTAGCAGTTTTCAATTATTAATGTTCATCAGGCAATTCTTAAGTGTTTGACTTATATCATTCAACCCTTAAGGCACTCATCTATGTTTCATATAGAATGTAAGAGGGTAGACCAAGAATAGCAATCAAATTTCTAAGCTTGTATTGAAACAAGACACGATATTTCCTAAACAAAGAAAATGCTGTTCTTTCTGAAAGATCTGTAAATAGAATGCAATTTAGATAATAGTTGTTCTTATTCCTAATCTTGATATGAATCACAGTAGTATTCTTTAATTGTATCCTAGTTTTCTGTAGCATAACCAAATCTATTTCTACTCCACAATTCTTTAGATGTTTTCCAGTTATAAATTGCTAAATAATAATTTATAACTGGAAAAATATATTAAGTGAATTAGACTTATTATGCAATTTATAACAGGAAAGAAGTGGCAAGTCTAAATTACAATAAACAATGCATAAGACAAATTAGTCACCAGTTGCAAACACATGACGGTTTTAGACTTATTTAGACCCTTACCCTGAATGTCTGCATTATGAAGAATTCAAAATTAGAATTCTTAATAAGTGCACAGAATTGCAAAATCATATAGCCACTCCAAATTGTATTCCTACTTTATTCAAAGGCAGGGAAATAGGTTCCATGTTTCCATAGCAAAAAGGAAAATAATTTCTTTACTTGCCACGAGCAAATAAAAAAATAAAATTGCCAAATAATTGGCCCATCATTTTACTCTATGCATGTAATAACACTTATAAGCAGTTCTCGGAATTGCTTTAGTTTTCACTTTAGAGCAGATAATAGAAGAAAAGTCAAAGACACAAAGATAGAAGATAATTAATAAAGATCAGATCAAAAATAGCCTTTGGATAATGACTTGACATGGTCAAAGAAGTCTTCCCAGGTTGAGAAATATTTGATCTCAATGGCAGTAATTAGAATACCTTAATTCACTTGCAGTCGTTAGACAGTTTAAGAAGGTAGCATAAGCAACATCTTCATGTATTACTCCTAATTTTATATTCAACAGAAACGTGCTGGATACTGGTTATGTGCACATCACTCTGCAAAGTGCTTTGGTAGACTGTCAACAGGTATCGTATTGCTCTGGAATAGATCAGGAATGCATCAGGCTCATCACAAATGGTTCATCTCTGCTCTAGGTCATATCAGTTGGGTGGTTAGGCAAGCTGAACTGACACACCTGAAGATATAGGACAGTTTGGTCAAGTAGCATGTCTCTGGTCTCCCTATGGATTCTTTGACCTTCAGGAGAACCTAGAATTTTACCTGGCTTCCCCTCCAGCAGGAATAGACATGGAAAGTCATAAGGTTCAGGTTTGGAAAGTTCAGACATCACTTCTGCTTAATTGAATTGGTCAAAGCAGGTCACAGAACCAGGGCATAGGCCATGGATTTCTCTCACTTTGTCACAAGAGAAGACTAGGTTCATAGAATTGGACATGTTCATGGTGGTTGTCTGTGTCCATCAAATGATACTCAAAGATGACAAAGGGTTCTGTGGTGTTTGTTTGCATGTTTGTCTGTTTTGTGCTGGTACTGAAGCTTGAACTCAGGTCCAAGGAGCTCTCTTTGAGTATTTTCACTCAAGGCTGGCACTCTACCTCTGGAGCCACACCTCTACTGCCAGCTTTTGGATAATTAATATGAAATAGGAATCTAACAGACTTTTTTGCCTGAGCTAGATGAACTGCAATAATCAGATCTCAGCCTCCTGTGTTGCTAGGATTCCAGGCTTGAGCCCACAGAACCTGGTTGATAATGGGTGAAAAAGAAGTTTCATTCGGGATAGTTCCCAACCCCTGCTTTTGCTTCCTCGTTTTCCACAGATGCCTGTATATTACTATCCATCTGGGCAGTACCCTACCTCAACTACACCACAGTACCGGCCCCTGGCCTCCGTTCAGTACAGTGCTCAGAGGGGTCAGCAGGTGCCACAGGCAGCACAGCAAGCAGGTAAGTGGTGTCTGTTTCCTCTTTGCTCCTGCAGCTTTGTTATTTCTACTGGCGAATTTTGTAGCTCTAATTATTGACAAGTGCCCAAGCTGAGCAATTTAAGTCTGAGTTTCCCATGTCCTGAGAAGCAGACACAGCATTTAATTAACGCTGAGTGGAAAAGTAACAGATATAAGAAGGAGGCAAAGCTGACAATAGCATCCCACACATGCGTGCTGAACGGTATCCATTAGTTGTTTTCACATCGTCCCAGCTTATTTTAAAGCAGACAGCCAACAACATCCCTATCTTCCTTGGTCACTTGGGGTTTTTCTTGTTGTTATTGTTGTTCTCTTTTCAATGTAAAAAAATGCATCCCCTGTTCTTAAGTCTGGGGAATGAAGTGAGGTTGTTTAGTACCATCCTGAAAAGCACTGTCTTTAGAAGGCTCAAGACAGTGTGCCTTGTCTGTGGGACTCAACCTCCTGGCTCACTCTGAGGATGGCTGCAGCTCCTGCCTTGGCCGGCAGCGCTGCGCAGTGGGAAGGGGGGCCGATGCACTGTCCGAGAGTGAGTAGCAGGTCTCACAGTGAACCGGTCTCTTTCCCTGCTGTGCCACATCCTGATGGAATGCTGCCACGCATCCCCCCAGCAGGGCTGAGAGACAGGTGCTAGGGAGAGTTCTCAACCACCAACCACCACTCCTGCTGACCAAGCTGCCTGCGAACTGCTAATTGTCATGTTGAAGACCTCCTGTCTGGCTGGGACACGCTGCCTCCTGTAAGTAGGTCACGGGAAAGAGCATGTGCTCCTTCTGTGGCTCGTGAATCCCTTCACTGGTTATATGTATACACCTGTGTAATATATACAGACACGGGTATGTGAAATATATATGATGTGTACCATTGTATAAGCTGTGAAGTTTATCCTTCATCTATTTATCTAGCATTGATCCTTGTCAATATTTAGCACCAACCCAGACACCCTGGAGTTGCTAACAGTTTAACAGGTTGGAGGATTAAATTTCTCTGTATTGTAGGTGGCTATGTGTTTTTTTCCTTCATCTCATGGCTTATTTCAGTTCCACAGGGCAGAGAATTAGGGAAAACCTCAGTTGCCAGTCCGAGTTTTGTCTTGTTGAAACACAGCATTAATTCAAGGCCTTCATACTTTTAGCAAAGTGAAAATTGCAAGAGTTATAGATTACGACTTATTTTTAGGGAAGCTTTTGACAATGCTTTTCTCTGATCAATGGGAACTGTGTGGTCAGTGTAGTTGTATGCTATAAGTGATGTGTTTGTCCTGTTCTGAACTGCCTGTCTAAGCTGTGAATGGTTGTTAACGTGGTTACTTAAATAGTCATAAACCCTGGTTTAGAAGCAATGGAGAGACTGATCTTTTGTTTATACATGCATTTAAAAGAAGAGAGATGCTGATGAAGAATTGCAGTAATCTCCTTATTATGTAGTTGTACTGTGTGACAGATTCCTAAGGAGACAGTTCAGTCCCCTAATAGGACATCAAAAAAAGGAAGCATGCTGGATTCTGTTTAACCTGTGAGCTCGGCACACCTGTGTGAGGGACTCTGGAACATAGCTATTCTATTAAACAGGGCAGTAGAATTCAATGTAGAACAAGTCTAGGGTTCTCTGTTCACCCCTATGTTGCTATTTCTCCTCTCCACTAAATTAGCTGATGACTGACAGCTCACAAGAAAACACATGTGTTTTTACTCTTTTTATAAATGACTGTGGGATGCAGAGACATACTCTTCCATCCCAGAGAGACCTAGCTGGATGTAATGACATTGCTTAGCAATCTAGTGGCTTTTCCCAGACTCACATATCACTGAGGAAATGCCACTCCCAAGAAGAGGTAATAACGTCATTGTAAGAACGCATTCTGTGGCAAAACCAGGCTCAACACAGAGGCAAGGGCAGTGCACGTAGTGTTCAGGTCAGCAGTGTCAGGCTGTGCAGGTGGAGGTGAGGAAAGTGATGATACAATAGCTTCCCAGATTGACACCACTGGTATCCACAGGCACACTGAGGCCTTTGAGCTTTTGGTTTAGGGGATCATGACTCTGGATGTCGTGTGTAAAATCCCAACTCAGCATCTACTGCAGTGCTGAAATTATGAGGTATTTGGAAAGGCAGGTAGTGTCTTGATCTTACAGAAAACATTACTAATGAAAGCCAGAAAGCCTATCTTACATAGTGGCTCAACCAGTAGAACCTAGAGCTTCTATGCATTGTCAGAGGTCCATTATGTGAGGTAGTATTTGTTGTTGTTATGGGTTTTTTAAAATTGTTATTATGAAGGTGATGTACAGAGGGGTTACAGTTACTTAAGTCAGGTAATGAGTCACATTTTTTAAAATAAGTTTTTTAATTGTGAAAATACCATACAGAGGGGTTACAATTAAATGAGCAAGGTAATGAGTACATTTCTTATCAAGCATTGTTACCTCCTCCTTTGTTTTTCCCCTACCATCCCTGCCCTCCCATCTCCACGACTACACTCCCCAATCCCCTCCAAAGTTAGTATATGTTCTGAGACAAGCAGAAAAGGTCAGATAAAATGATGTTAGGTGAAATGAACCCCAAGATAAGGACACAAGTGTTTTTTTTTTCTTGCTTGCTACTGTTTCTAACATTTGTTTTTGAACAGTGTCACCTCTTCCCTCATTTTCTTCCAGTTTTTTTTCCTTCCTCACCCCTCTCCCCCACAAGTTGTTAGCTTATTTTCAACATAGTATCTAGTGAGAGTACCACTGCTCCATTTGTTTGGGTTTTGTGCTGGTCCCAGGGCTTGAAGTCAGGGCTTCTTTTGCTAAGGTTAGAGCCCTACCACTTGAGCATAGTTTCATTTACAGCATTTTGGTAGTTTATTGGAGGTAAGAGTCTCATAGCTTTTATAATTATCACACGTATCTCCCTGTCTCTGTCTGTTTCTCTGTCTCTGTTTCTCTGACTCTGTCTCTGTCTGTCTGTCTCTCTCTCTTTCTTTCTCCCTCTCTCATATTCTCTTTGTGTGTGTGTGTACTCGTCAGACTTTGGAGCTTTACCAACCATCAATAAGGTATAGAGAACAAAGTCTCTAAGAGGAACAACCCCTCAAGTATCAGGTTCCAGAATATTACAGCAGTGAGATGCCAGCACCCAGCTTCAACAGGGATTTAGGCAGGACTGTTCGTGGGCACAAGGAACTGAGTCAAGGAACTGTCTTTGAAAAGAGGAGCCTTTCTTGAAAACTGTAAGAGCTGTGTTTTATGGAGTTGTTGGTGGGTCTTTGTTCCTAAGCCACACTCTGGACTAGTACTGGCATGGCACTCTCCCACAGAGATGTTCTGATTCACTTTTCCTCACCTTCCCTCACTTTTCCCATCATCTTGCATGCTGAGATCTGACTCTCTCCCAGTCTGGTCCCTGTACTAGATGGCATTAGAGCATCTTGACCTAGAGGATAGCTCAGAATTACACTGGGGGTAAAAATATATCCATCAAAGGCAAATGCAATTTTAATCCCAGTTTACTTCTTATCATAATAAAAACTGTCTTTCTCTTCTCCTTCCTTTTGGACAGAAATTTCCATAAGTTGCTACATCTTTCTGAAGCCTTGAGATTACACACAGTGAATTTTTAAGGGACTAGATAATTTGCAATTGCTTAAATATGACCTTTACATTACAAGGAGGCCCCAGAAAGAGATGTAGATGCAAATGTTCCTCTTAGAGACTTTGTTCATTCTACCTTATTGATGGTTGGTAAAGGTCCAAAGTCTGGAATACACACACACAAAGAGAATATGAGAGAGAGAAAGAGAGAAAGAGAGAGACAGAGATAGAGAAACAGAGAGAGAAATAGAAACAGAGACAGGGAGATACGTATGATAATTATAAAAGCTAATGTTGTTAAGTTTTAGAGAAAATAAAGAGTAAATTTTTGCAGTGACATTTGGATATGTATATGGGATATTTGAAAAACTTCAATACAGACTCTCTCCAATGGAAAATATTGTCTATTTCCGTTCTACTACTTTGTCTAGTGTCAGGGGAACTATTACCATTCCTGTTAACCTCTTTATCAGACATGCATGAGCACAGTTAGTTGTGTTTCCTTTATTTCCTAACATGCGAGGACATAATACCAGCATGATGAAACTAAACCAGCAAGCTCATGCAAACGAGACTAGCAACACTAGTGGCTCAAGTGTACCAAATGGCTGACAAGTAGAATAAATTTTGGATTCTGGACTTCTACGCCCTTGTTCAGCATAAGCTTCTGTATTCTGAAATAGTTATTGCAAAAATCAAATGATAGAAGTCAGCTGAGAAAATTTTGCTTAATTATATTTTGGAAAAGCAAATGAAGAAAAAGAGTTTCTTCTAGATGATATTCCAAAATTCCATTTTTTTTAGTTTGACTTTAAAAGAAATATTCATATTATCATTCTTGGCTTTTAAGGGACTTGGTCATGTCTAAAAAGCAAGAAAAATGTGTGTATAACATCCTGTATATTTTCATGAAGGAGCAATTGAAAAAGAATCTGACTTTTGTATTACAATGTTATTGGCCTAAAAGAATAATGATCAGTCTTCCTTCTCCTACATTTTGGAAGAGATTAGGTGAAATTGTGACTAAATCTTCTTTAAATGTATGATAAAAATTTTCAGTGAGATATTCCTGTGATATTCCAGAGATCTTTAATTATGTATTTAACTTTTTACTAAATGATAATATCTATAGCTTACAAAATAGTCCTTGATTTCTTTATCATTCTAAAACTCTCCATACTATTCATCTCTGTGAGTTTGGGTAACTTGTAATTACCAAGGAATTGGCCCATTTCTTCTAAGCTTAGAATTCTTTTAAGCTGTAAATTTGATGTTTGTATTCCTTTATTACATTTTGAATAGCTTCAAGATGTATTTTTATATCCTATTTTACTACTGATACTGGGGATTTAAACTTCTCTTTTTATTTTTTGTCCCTCCCCTAGATCTATTAAATTTGTTAACC